TCAACTTGAATTCCAATATTATACTAAACTCAAAATCCAGTTTCTCCAAGAAATTATTTATCTTTTGCTCATTTTGGGGAGTTTATGGACCTAAGAATCTGCAGAATTTTATTGCTATGGCTTTAAGCACAACAGTTTTAATAGTAAGTAAAATTATAATTCTTTGCATATTTTAAAATAAAAGCAAGAAATCTTAGAAAATTTAAAGTGGGAACAAAGCCTTGTGAAACCTTAGGAATTATTATTAACTCATGCAAACTGCTTCGGTACCCTGCCTTTGAATTTGTAAAAATTAAGAAGATTGATTTGGACTGTTTATAGAAGCAGGATCGGAGGGACTCTAATCTTAATTATCTTAAAGATGAAGAGGGAAGGTGGAAAGTAAATCTTCCCTATTCCCTGAAGTGCTCACATTTCTTCCCCAATTTCAAACACCCACTCATTTACAGCCCTTAAGAAAATTTGAGTTGTGAACACTGAGTGTGATGCCTGTAATCCCAGTAATTTTGAAGATTGAGGTAGAAGGATCACAAGTTTGAGGGCCACCTGGGCAATTTAGCAAGACTCTGTCTCAAAATAAAAAATAAAAAAGGACTGGGGGTGTAGTACAGAGGTAAAGTGCCTTGGGTTCAATCCCCAGTATGGATGGATGGAAGGAAGGAAGGAAGGAAGGAAGGAAGGAAGGAAGGAAGGAAGGGAGGGAAACAAAAAGAAAAACCAAGTCGTGGAGAGTAAGTGTTCTTGAAATATATTTCTAGATCTGGGAGTTTGGACTTAAGCCTTTAATTCATTGATTTATTAATTTTTTGATGAATGAGGTCATATGGAAAAACTCTGCTGCTTGGTTGTGTTGGTGGAAACTTTTCTAAGCAGGAACTAAATGACTGTTTGCTTAGCTAGAGGTTATTTGCTTCTCAGAACAACACATTACATTTCTGAACTCGGACCCAGCAAGCAGAGCAGTTTCCAGAGAGCTCCAATCCAGAGGGAGTGGCTGTACTCAAGTACAGGTTGTCATCAGACTTTCTGAAGTGCTTTGTCTGATAAGGTTACTTTAACCTTAGCTCACCACTGTCCCTGAGTGCCTTCCACATCTGTGTCATGTTGGCATGCCAGTTCACATTCATCTCTGCAGCATCAGTTTTAAATCCAGTTCTTGGTCCTTAGGGTGTTACATAATAAATTAAAAACCCAAAATCAAAGGAGTTTTATGTGCAATGCATTTGAACTAACTGGACCTGACTTCCGGTGGGGAAAATGAACAGCTGAGCTGACTACATTATAGGTGCTCATTAATGACTGTAGGAATGCCTTGCCTCCCTCCTTCCTGAAGAGGCATCAGGAGTCTCCCATGTGCCAATCACTGTGGTGGTCCTGGGGATGCCATGATGTGGTCCTTGTTCCTTCAAGGAGCTCTTGTTTAAAACATCATAGTGTGAGAGGCACGCTTTGGCACAGGTGAGCCACAGGGGTTCAGCAGTTCAGATTGCTAAAGGAAAGAAAAGTCTTCCCTGAGCCAAGTCCAGAATGATGCCAAGGGTGCTCACAGTGGTTGCAAAGGCAGGAAGAGGTATGAAGCTAGTCCTGCAGGCCTGCATAGGTTGGGACTATGGAGGTGTACAAGAGCAGAAGGCAAATACACCCTGCTAAGGAGTTTAAGATTCTGTCCTGGAGGCAGTAGGAAGCCTTTGCAATGATGCAATGGAATTCATGTTTTTAAAACCACCACTTTGCTTCATCTCACTTCAATTAGATGATGGCCAAGTCATAAAGAATACAAAAAATAAGAAATATAAGAGAGGATGTGGGGAAAAGGAACACTTACACACTGTTGGTGGGGTTGTAAATTAGTACAACCACTTGCAAAATCAGTATGGAGATTACTTAAAAGACTAGGAATGGAACCACATACAGACCCTGTTCTACCACTAAAGCCTGAAGAATTAAAGTCATTATAGTACAGTGATACATGCATACCCATGTTTATAACTACACAGCTCACACAGTCACATTATGGAATCAGCCCAGGTGTCTGTTAATGGATGAGTGGATAAATGTGGGTATACATACACAGCAGAATTTCATTCAGTCATAAGAAGAACAAAATTGTCAGTTTCAGGAAAATGGATGGAACTCGAGAGCATTATGTTAAGTAAAATTAAGTGAAATTCAGAAAGTCAAGGGTCATGTTTTCTTTCCTATGTGAAAGCTAGAGAGAAAAAATGGATAACAGGTAGAGGCAGATCTCATGAAAACAGAAAGGGAACCAGGGGAGGAAGGAGAGGAGGAAAGCGAAGGTAGTAGGGAGTGAAATTGACCAGATTATATTGTTCTCTTGTGTGCATGTACAAATATGTAACAATGAACACCACTATTTTAATGCACCAATAAAAATGTCTAACTAGAAAAACATAAAAATAGCTGGGAGCAGTGGTGCAAGCCTGTAATCCCAGTGGCTCAGGAGGCCGAGACAGGAGGATTGCAAGTTCAAAGCCAACCTCAGCAATTTAGCAAGGCACCAAGCAACTCAGTAAGACTCTGTCTCTAAATAAAATACAAAATAGGGCTGGGGATGTGCCCCTGAGTTCAATTCCCAGTACCAAAAAAAGAAAAACTATTACTTTGCTAGCAATATAGGGGATGCATTGGCAATTGGTGAACTAAGAAGCAGAGACACACCCTATAGAGGCTATTGCAAATATCCTGGTGAAAAAACAAAAGAGACCTAAGGCAGTCTTGTGGAGCTTAAGAGAAACAGAGACATCAGGGAGGTGCAGGAACTTAGTCATCAGTGATGGATATTGAGGAAGAGTAGAGGAACAAGTCAAGTATGTCCCTGAGATTTCTCACTTGATATGATGCCCCTCATCAAAATGAGGCTCAGGAGGAGGAAGGCCATGTTGACTTCCAGAATTAGGGGGATGATGGTGAGATCAGGTTGGGAGTCTAATGAATTTGAGAAGCTTGAGAGACATTCATGAGGGGACGTCTGAGAGGGATGGCCAGATGGGCCTAGAGTTCAAGCAGGAGGAGCTGTAGTACCGTTGTTGGCTGGTCCCTTTATGGGAAGACAGGTATTATTAGAAGATTCAGGGACTCTGTGGTCTTGATAACTTTAGACAGCTCTCTTGGAAGCCATGTTATCAATTTGGGGATCATTTAGAGGTGGTAGAAATGTGAAATGTATTGAAATGACTCCTAAAGAGTTCAGCAGAGAAACCGTGGTCCCCAAGGTGAACCTGGGATTCTTCCCAGTGTTGTTGTTCTCTCTCGCCCGTTCTTCTTTTGAATGTCCCCCTAAGGCTCCTGCAAGAAAATCTCAGTTATTAGACTGTGGAGAAAGTGCATTGGTAAAGAGATGTAAAAAGACATTTTTACTAAATATGTCATCTTCTTAATAACCCTGCAAGATTATTAACAGTCCCATTTTACAGTTAACATAACTGAACCTCTGAGGGGTTACATAGCTTACCTCATAATAAGTAGTAAAGTTATAGGTCAAGTTTTAGACTGGTAAAGTTCATTCTTTTTCTCCTTTACAATACTAACATATTTTTTAAATAACAGGCCTATTAACCCCTTGATGAAAGTTCCTAGTGTTGTTATTGAGAAAAAAAAAAAAAGTTTTGTGGAAAGGATTTGGCACCAGTCCCATTTATCAAGAGCAATACTCTCTCTGGATTACCCAAAACTGATTCCTCTGATGCATCCCCTACACCTCACTTCCCCACTTCTTCCTACAATGGTCAGGACTGGTGGTTCTTATGGTGCCCTATTCTAGGTCCAGTTAATCCACTTAAGATCCTACCACCAGGGCCATGCTTATAATGTTTTCCCCTTTCTTTCCACCTCCACTTTTCTCTCTATCTCCTTACACCCTAAGCAGTCATAGGGATCCTTTAGTTCTAAGGAAGCATACAAAGTCAGTGCTCTGCTTGGAAGCCTCTGATGATTTCTCAACTCCCTGAGAACACAAGGCCTCCTTTTTATAAATTTAAAATTTTTAATGATTTTTAGTTGTAGATGGACACATACCTTTAGTTCATTTATTTATTTTTATATAGTGCTGAGGTTCGAACCCAGTGCCTCATATGTGCTAGGCAAGTCACTACCACAGAGCTACAATCCCAGCCCCAAGGCTTTCTTTTCAAGGCCTTCTGCATTCTGTCCTCTGGTTGCTACTACGATCCTGTTACTGACCATACTTGCTCCACCTGAACCACACTATCTGTTTCTCAAGCACCTCTAACAGGTTCTGCACCCAGCAGGGCTTGTAGCCTTCCTGTACTTACTTCCTGTAGTGGTTTTGCCCAGCTATCCGTGTGACCACTCTTTTGAAAATAGCAGTCCCCACCATGCTCCATCACTGTTCTGCCTGAGTTTTCTTCATCTCACTTGTGTATTAACATCCACAGGAAAGCCCAGTGAGTTCAAAGGCTTTGTCCGATTCTCACTATATCCCCAGCTGCTAGGGTAGCACGTAGCACTCACAGCACTACTTGAATTATGGAATTAATACGTGGAAGCCATGATCCTGGCAGAGAAGTAGAATCACTATGACCAAGGACCTGCAGTAATGAAAAGGAGTATCTTGGTTTTCCCAACGTGGTTAGCATTATTAGTTCCCCAAGGTTCCTCATTTGTGGATAATTGTGACCAGTTATCAGAAAACTTGTATACATTTCCCTGGGTTAGATTTGTTATCTGATAAAAGATTGATTTTTCTTCAAACACAGAAGTCACTAGGGCAGATTTGCTGCTTCAGGAGATGACTGACAATAGTGTGGTTTCTCATGTCTACAATCCCAAATCTGGAAGTCACTCGTAGGAATATCTGTGTTTGTGGGGTCCATTGAATATACTTCCTATATGATACCTTTTTGATGCTCTAGGAAAAAGACTTCCTTTGATAACTTGACTTCAGTGTCCTTAGTCAAAAGTTTTCCATTGGAGCCCTGGATGCCTTTTTCAGTACATTTTTTCTGTTGCTCTTCTTTTAGGATCTTCTATGTCTCTCATGACTCCCAAGACTTGAAGATCTTCAGCTATATCGCTCGAGATGGTGCCAGCAATATCTTCAGGTGTAACGTCTTTAAGTCCAAGAAGAAGGTAAAGGAGCAGTCATTGGTTATCTATAATGTTCCTCTGATGGCCCCAGCACATCCCCAACATAGACCAGTTTCCCTGTGAAAGATTTGGAGGTGGTTGTTTTGATGGCCAACATGGAGGAACTGTCAGTTCTCCTATGTAATGAAATTCTCTTTTAGTTTCATCTGAACTTTGACTTGGTTACATATAAACAGTTGGAGAGAGACTGGCCATTGGATAAGTATTTTGGAACAGGAGCAGGTAGTTGACACCAGGAATGAGGTTGACCTCAGTGTGCATTAGTAAAGAAGCATTGCCACGGACTAAGGTGATCCTTCTGATCAGTGGATCAGTGGGCTTCAAGTCATGACCCTTGGAATCTGGTTTAGACTTAGGGTGTGATATTGGTTTTCCTGGGTAATTATTTTGTTAAGGTGGCCCTGATACTTGAGTAAATGCAACCTTTTCAGTTCTATAGAGGCATTCTTCTTCTCTGCCATTCCTCCAGGACCTAACACAAAGAACTGGGGTTTTGGATACCTCCATGGGGGTTAGGAAACCTAGGATTTAGCCCCACCTGAATGATTTTATGCAGGCTGCTTCTCCACTATAAATCCCGCTTCCTTAGATATAATGTGCTAATAGCCTGGGAACTATTATTCTTCTGAAGAAATTTTGGAAAGCCCTGTACTGGGGCCTTTAAGAACCCTTATTGATCTACTATTTCTAGAGACAAACCACTAAGTCTGACTTCCTGAGAGGCCTTCTCACCTTCTTCCTGCATACTTCCTTTGATTCTATGTAACATCTTATGCTTTAAGCCATTTTTAATAGACTCATGGTTATCTCACCTTTGTCAAGTGGGAATAATAATAATAATAATAATATGTGACAACTAATACAGATGTTCCTTGAGTAACGATGGGGTTGTGTCCCAATAAACCCTTCCTCAGCTGAAAATGCCTTTAATATACCCACCCTACTGAACATCCTAACTTAGTAGCAGATTTTACAGTACCAGTGGCTTCCTCTTTATGATAACATGACTGACCAGCACTAAGGCTCCTGTCAATGCCCAGCATTGCAGGAGTATCTTACTATATATCATTAGCTTAGGAAAAAATTAAAATTCAAAATTTGAAGTACAACTTCTAATGAGTACATATAGCTTTTGCCCCACTATAAAAATCAAAAAGTTGTTATGTCTGACCATCCTAAATTTGGTTGTATATATGTCCTGTTTCCTATCCTAACTCCATAAAGGGAATCACAACTTGCTAACTTGCCTCTCCTCTAAGGAGATATGCACCCTTACGCACCCAGCTCTCAGACTTAATTTTAATCATTCATTTATTTATTTTTGTGGTACTAGAGATTAAACCAAGGGCCTCATGCTTGCTAAGCAAGTGCTTTACCACTGAGCTGCGCTCCAGCCCTCGGGCTTTTTAAATGAAAATCATGAAATTGTATGGAAAGTGCTAAAACTAGAGAGATGAGAGGGAAAAGGGGTAAGTTCTCAGACTTCGATTCTAGATAATAATACAGTTGAGAGAAAGAGAATGTGAGGAGGCCAGGTTGAACTGCGCATCAAAACACTGATAGAAGCACAAGTAGGAGGAGGGAGGAAAGAAGGCTAGAGGTGGGAGAAATGGTCTTACCCTCCTTATAGCTGTAGAGGATCCGGGGAAGAGAGAAAGGAAACTCAGGTTGGACCATCTCTAATGTTCTCTGACAAGTGTCTAAAGATTCAAATTCCCTTAATTCATTTTGAGTCCTTGACCATGCTTCTGACTTCAGTTTTGTACATAGGCTGGACCATGTAAACTTTTTAATTTAATAGAGTTACAAATAGAGTTACCAAGTGCTTTGATAGTTGATCTTACTTTAATATCTTTCCAATGTGTATATAGGAAAGGTAAGATAGTTAATTTTCACCCAGTTTTAGAGATGAGTAAACCGAGGCTCAGAGAGACTAAATGACTTGCCCACCTTCCCACTGAAAAGCATTGGCTATAACCTGGGAGATATATAGAACAAAAGAATTTTTAGCAAAAAAACTAGGTAAAGGAGACTATTATATTTGTGGGCTGTTTTCTTTTCTCCTCCTCTTCCTCCTCCTTCTTCTCCTTCCTCTGCCTCTTCTTCCTCTTTTTTCTCTCCTCCTCCTCCTTTCTCTTCCTTTTCCACTTCCCCTTTCTCCTTCTCTTTCTCCTCCTCTTCTTCTTTTCCATCCTCTTCCTCCTCGTTCTCCTCCTCCTCATCATCATCATCAGGAGTTGAACCCAGAGATGCACTGTCACTGAGCTATATCCCCAGTCCTTTTTATTCATTTTTTATTGTTTCCTTTTATAGTTATACATGACAGTAGAATCCGTTTTGATGTAATGGTAAAAGCATGGACTATATCTTGTCTAATTCAAAGCCCAGGACCTCTCCATCCCCTTTCCTTTCCTCACCCCCTGCTCCCTTCCCTCTATTGATCTTTCCACCATTTATCTTTAGGTTTTTTAAATTAATGTCTCATGGAGGTACTCAATGGGGGGATTCACGATAGTATATTTGTGTATGAACATAGGAAAGTTAGATCATTCCACTATCTTTCCTTTTCTCATTCCCCTTCCTTCAATCCCCTACTCCACTGAACTTTCATTCTCCCTTCTCCCCTTATTGTGGGTTAGCTTCCACATTCCATTGAAAACATTCTGGTTTTTTGGGGATTGGCTTATTTGACTTAGCATGATAGTATCCAGATTCATCCATTTACCAGCAAATGTCAAAAAGTCATTTTTCTTTATGGCTGAGTAATACTCCATAGTGTATACGTAGCTCATTTTCTTTATCCATTCATCTGTTGAAGGGCACCTAGATTGGCTCTATAGCATAACTATTGTGAACTATGACACCTTAAACATCGATGTGCTGCATAACTATAGTATGCTTATTTTAAGTCCTTTGGATATATGACAAGGAGTGGGATAACTGTGTCAAATGGTGGTTCCATTTGTAGTCTTCTGAGGAATCTCCATATTGCTTTCCAGAGAAGTTTTACCAATTTGCAGCATCACCAACAGTGTATGACTGTACCCTTTTCCCCACATCCTCACCAACATTTATTGTTACCAGTCCTTTTTGTTGTTGTTTTGAGACAGAGTCTTGCTAAGTTGCTGAGGCTGGCCTTGAACTTGCAATTCTCCTGCCTCAGCCTCCCAGGTCATTGGGATTATAGGTGTGTGCCTCTATACCTGGCCTATATCTTGTATTTGCCTGGCCATCAAACTTAGTATAGCAATACAGACAGAGTAGGGGTGTCCTTCTGCCAAAACCCGAGTCTAAGAAAAATGCCCACTTGGATCTTTGATCTTGAAGTGAAGCCCAGATCCCATTGCTGTTGCTAGATGAAAAGGAGTAGTCATCTAGTTCTCTGTCACATCATTTTTTTCCCATGTCTTATAGCTCCCAGAGCTAATTCTGATGTCTGGCTCTTCTATTTTCTTTTTTATTTCTTTTGGATTGAGGAGAGGGTACTGGGGATTGAACTTAGGTGTGCATTGCCGTTTAACTACATCTGTAGCCCTTTTTATTTTCTCATTTTGAAACAGCGTCTCATAAGTTACTGAAACTGGCCTTGAACTTGTGATCCTCTTGCCTCAGCCTCCTGAGTCACAGGGATTACAGACATGTGTCACCATGTCCAGCTAGCTCTTCCATTTTGTTTTTTAAATCCTTTCACCCTCCCCTACTGAGACTGTATCTCTTCCTAGAGTTGGTTCTCAGGTCTGGTGCTGGTTTGTCTACCATGTAGCTAGGGAGTTGCTTCTGGATAGCCTGATGTGAGTTCTTTTGCTGAACTCTTGGTGGAAGGGCCAGTTTCTAAGCCATAAAAAGAGAAATAAATTGTTAATCAAAGGGAACAAAATCGGGAAGAGGTGGCAATATATCTCTAGGGTTTTACATGCCATCTTGATTAGCCCCCAAATATGGTGAATTACTATTTTATAAAACTCTTCAGGTTTAGGGAGGCAATAGTCAGCTTGATCAGGAGTTTTAATTGGAAAATCATAGGAATATTGAAGAGGTGATGGGGAAAGTACTACACGTCCCAAGGAAATGTATTTTGCAGGAATGTTCTTGGTCATTAGATGTCAATAGGGAGACCTCTTGCTGGAAGCCAGCAGACTTGGGTGTCCTCCAGAGGCCTTATACTGATCACAATGTGGGAAAACCTTGTATAAACTTGTTGCTGTGCCAGGGTTTTGGTTCCTGCTGTTTGACCTTGCGTTATGTCCCCTGTGTGCACACCCATGGCACGTTTCTCATGACAAACCTGTAATGAGGGTGTCATTCATATCCTATAGTTCACCATGGAGAAAGAGTTGAGAATATGGGTTGGGTGTCTCAACTTTCACATTAGAAGGCATCCCTATAACCTTTGCTCCTGGCACAGATATTATTCTGTACCTAGGGATCATCCTCAGTTACTCACAAGTATAGCCAATGTGGTTCCATCTTGGGAATTTTAACCTTGAACTGTTTTTTCTCTTTTTCTCCAGAAGCTAGATAGCAGATTGCTGTAGGAATATAAGATGGTTCCTTTTAGTCTTATACTACTATGGATTATCTAAGTCATAGTTTAATATTAAGTTAAAAATATCTAGCCTGTTTTGATTTACTGCCATGTGCCTGAGACTGCCCTAAGCTCTATGAATGAATTATCTCAAAAGCCTAGGGAGAGAGGAACTATTATGCTTTTCATTACATAAATGGGAGCCTTAAAGTACATAACTTGCATAAAGACTTATGATAGCATAGTCGAAACTGAACCCAGAAGTCTGACTTGAGCTCACACTCTTAACCACTCCATATACCATTGTCCCTGGCTCATTAGGAAGTTACATAGCTAAGGAGTAGCCTTGTTCCCCAAGGTTGATTCATAACTGCATTCTGTTGTAATCAGCACCTGAGTCCAAAGAGCTCCTTAACTCTCAATGGCTCACATCACTTTGACACACATTTTCCTTTTT